AAGAAAATACTGATCTGTAATTAGCGCCTATAGTGGCAATAGCAGAACGGCCTTGCTCACAATGTAAAATAGCACAAATGTGAGGAATCTTAATATCACAGTTGTCCCTCATGATAACATGATAACAGACATAATAATAATGGGTAAAAGTCCCATTTCTTTTTTCTTTAAGCCTAATGAGAAACTGTAGCTCCCGATTTGCTGACATTATCATTTTTCATCAAATCTGACCTGATCATCACCTACGTTTTGAGTTCATTTTAAATCATATTTAATTTGTCTGCAAGGTTAAATGTCACATTAGCCAGGTTTCCATCCAGCTGTTGAATTAAATTCAGGCAAAACTGAAATGTTGCAGAAACTCTGTGAATAAGGCTTATCCTTCAGCTCACTCCCACGTTTTATTTACTTTTATGGCTGTATTTTAGATCATAATAGCTCAGAGCTCAGAACACATTGGCTAACATACAGCTATAATTTCCATTATGTGACCTCGACTTTATGTCTGTTCATCATCTGACCTGATCATATAAATTTTTACTCAAATTGTGCCATTTTATTCAATATTTGCCATTTCCATCAAATCTTTTTATTCAATATGTCAAAATCGAATGGAAATTTATTTTTAAAATAGATTAGGCGAGAAATCAGATTCAAAACCTACATCCAATCAGAAGCCATGCATCTTCCCTTACTGCTGTCAGCCATTCTTATTTACTTCAGGCTCAGTTTGGCCTGAATAATTTTTGAGAAAAAGCACCTTTGTAAACCCCCTTTACTGTCCTTATCTATAATGTATCAGTTTATTGTCAATGTAATTAAGCTATTATTAGCATGGTTGGCCCTGCTTTCTTGGTGGGTCACTCAGTGATACTACCCGTCTGTTACAGCTGATGTGACAGAACTGGCAGCCAGTGTTCTCCTCCAAGCGTGTTGATCTGTCCAGTGACGTTGTATTTGTGGCAGTTTGAAAACGTGTGGTAAAGCTTCACTTGTCTCGGAGCACATACTTGTCTTCACTCTCCCAGCTTGGTAGCCTCATGTGATTGCAAGTAGCTAACAAGTAGATTTGAACACAGTTAACTTTGGGGTAAAGAAAAGGGATTTCTGCCTTAAATTGAATGTTTGGCAGTGTTTGTAAGGATTGTTCAACAGAAGCCCTATTCGAGCTGGATTTGTTTTCAGGTCTGGTAAACACTGTGAAAGTTTCAAGACATACTGTTCACTCATCAGTCCATGCATGAATGTTTTAGTGATGTCACACAAACCAAGTCATTTGCATATAACCACATACTTAGCCTGCAGCAGTTTAGCTCAGCCCATTTACGATAAAGTTATAAGGGGTGTTTCAGGCTGTTAAGCTTGATGAGGAATGAGGCAGAATACAGGGTGGCCAGTCAAAACAGAGATCATTTGCATAGATCAGTCTTACAGGTGCAGAAAGCCAAGGGATAAAGTGGGGTTGGAAGATGGCCAGGTAAAAATGAACTATGACTGTTTTTGGTACATAAAATGTCACAAATGTTATAAATGGATTTCAGGAGAAAAAGTTGAACTACAAGAGTGATGTAGGATGTGGTCCTTTTAAGATCAAAACATCTAGTTAATGCTAGAAACAATAGCACTTGGCTTGTAAAGCGAAACTCATGTAACTTAACGAATGCTGGCCAACAGAACAGAAATCACACTGCTCTATGTGAGGTAAGTTCAAGATACACTATATGGACAAAAGTATTGGGACACACCTCTTAATTATTGAATTCAGGTGTTTAATTCAGTCCCATTGCCACATGTGCATAAAATGAAGCACCTAGCCATGCAGTCTGCCTTTACACACATTTGTGAGAGAATGAGTTGTTCTAAAGAGCTCACTGAATTTGAGCGTGGTGCTGTAATAAGATGCAACAAGCAAATTTTTCCCTCCTAGATGTTCCACGATCATCTGTGAGTGGTATTTTTGAAAAATGGAAACATTTAGAAACCACAGTGACTCAGTTACAGAGCGATTCGATGAGTGCTGTCCTCAGCGTAGTGCATAAAAGTCACCAATACTCTGCTGAGTCAGTAACTGCAGAGTTCCAAACCTCTTCTGGCACAAAAACTGTGCGTTGGGAGCTTCATGTCATGGGTTTCCATGGCCGAGCAGCTGCATGTAGCCTTACATCACCAAGCACAATGCCAACCGTCGGATGGAGTGGTGTAAAGCAGCCACCACTGGACTCTGGAGCAGTAGAAACATTCTGTGGAGTGAAGAATCACGCTTCTCTATCTGTCAGTCTGATGGACGAGTCTGGGTTTGGTGAATACCAGGAAAACATTACCTACCTGACTGCACTGTGCCAGCTGTAAAGTTTGGTGGAGGAGGGATGATGATATGATATGTTTTTCAGGGGTTGGTCTAGAACCCTTAGTTCCAGTGAAGGGAAATCTTCTCTAATGCTTCAGGATACCAACACATTTTGGACAATTGTATATTTCCAACTTTGTGGGAACAGTTTGGAGAAGAACCTTTCCTGTTCCAGCATGACTGAGCCCCAGTGCCCAAAGCAGCTCCATAAAGGCCTGACTGGTGAGTTTGGTGTGGAAGAACTTGGCTGGCCTGCACAGAGTCCCTGACCTCAACCCCATCCAAAGCCTTTGTGATGAACTAGAACGGAGATTGTGAGCCAGATCCTCTCGTCCAACATCAGTGTCTGACCTCACAAATGCTCTTCTGGATGAATGGGCAAAAATTCCCACAGACACTCCAACATCTGGTAGAAAGCTTCCCAGAAGAGTGGAAGCTGTTCCAGCTGCAAAGGGGGACCAACTCCACATTAATGCCTATGGATTTAGAACGGGATGTAATGAAAGGTTCTGCAGGTGTCCCAATACATTTGTCTATATAGTGTATTTCTTCATCACCAAAAATTCAGTAGATTACAGTAGACCTGATTTGAACTTGAGGATAAAGGAACTTCCGAGCTTCAATTTTAGTGATGAGGATCGTCTCCCAGTCGCCAAAAAAGAGATGTAGTTGTCTATTTTCATTTTATTACATTACAAATGACACTACAGGCAGATTCATATTAGATTGAAATCACAGTTACAGCACCTCCTCAGGTAAAACTAACCCAGCTCCAATAGGGCTATAGAAACAGCGGCTATTGATGAGCGTATCTGTTGGCGAGGCGCAAATAGGATAGGTCAGTTCCATGCTGTTCTTCAGAGTCCATCTGAAAAAAGCCGGAGGTGAATATGAGATGAGACGTAAACGGCTGCAACCCTTAACCTGACACATTCAATAACATCACACTTACGCCGTGCTGCACACGGACTCCCCAGAAGAGCTCTCTCTTTACACCCTTCTCACTGTAAAATGGCCGTTGTAGTGACCAGGGACACGAGTGTGTGCACAGAGGGGTCTGTGTTCGTGTGAGAGAGCAGGAGTGAGTGTGTTTTGTGAGATGTTACTGTAGAGCAGTGTGTAACATTAGATTTAGTCTAAGTTCGTACAGACACAGTATTATAATACCACACAAAGTGACATATTGCAGCTGTATGTAGACAACAGCTTCACCAAACCGGTCAGCGGTCAGACACAACAGTTTATTCCTTTTCCAACAATGGAATAACAAACATTTTACAGAACGTTACACAGAAGCTTCAACTAGTATATTTTCTGCTTCTCACGATCCAAGTAATCCCAAACACATTCAGTGATGTCGAGGTCTGGACTCTGGGGTGGTCAGTTCATTGTTCAGCTTCTTCGTTTGATGTGTCCATCTCCTTTTCTCAGTGAGGTTCTTCTTGAACAGCTACACATCCTTTCAGACCCACAGCGCTGAGTCGTCTTCTCACAGTGGAAGGATGGACAGAAACACCTGTGGATGTTTTCAGATCTGAAGCAGCTTGATTTTCTCCTCTCTCTCAAAGATGAAAGCTTTAAGTGCTGTTTATCTGATGGGGATAATTTTTAGTGGTCTAGATCTTGCAGATGGTTGTTAGGAACCCCATTTTCTCTGTATGGTTGATGTTTTTCCTTTGACTTATCAATAATATCTCCTAAAAAAATTAATAACTGGACCTTAATAGCATTTTTTGACAGGAAGTTAAATAAATGTCTTTTATGTAAAGTGTATTCTATATATTGAATGAGTTGGTATCTATGTAGAACAATTTTGTATGACCCAAAAGACATGGTATACATATAGACATGGAAATAGTCTATTTGTTTGTGTACCATACTATATATATAGTTTGGACAGAATTACTTCTAGCAAGTTTTTTTTTATTATTGTTATGGTCGTGGGCTGGAGGTTAGGGAACCAGCCTCGTGACCGGAAGGTCGCTGGTTTGATGCCCTGAGCCAACAGTAAGTGACTGAGGTGCCCTTGAGCAAGACACCTAACCCCCAACTGCTCCCCAGGCGCTGTGTATAGGGCTGCCCATCGCCCCAGGCAAGTGTGCTCACTGCCCCCTAGTGTACGTTCACTAGTGTGTATGTGGTGTGTGCTGCACGGATGGGTTAGATTGCGGAGGTGAAATGTCCCTGTTGTGCGACTAATAAAGGTCACTTAATCACATCGTAAAATAGTACTAAAGACAGCAGAACTATGAGATTTTTCTGCAGTGAAATATGTTATCTTGTCAAGCTTAAATAAAAAAAAAAACATTAGGTTTATAGACTATATTTAAGATAATTTTACTTGACAAGATACCATTTTTTTTGCAGTAATTCAGTGGTTGATGTGTAAACAAAGTAATCCAGAGGGGTTTGACATGACGTGCTCTGTTGTATAGAAAATTGCCAACTCAGATGTCTTTACAGTGGAGCTGATAGGAACCAGACATTACGATGTCTACAGTATGTAATGCTGATGATGGTAAATCTGGAAAAAGGTTTTCTTTGGGAGCTGTTTTGCCGTATAAAGCCCTGCGTGTACCTCCCCACCATGAAGAGATTTAAAAAAATATTTTTAGGGTGCTTCTCCTTCTGATTACCTGCCTGCATTTCACAGTCCCTGCCATGATCACATCGTACCCCAACAACACGCTGGCCACCAAGGGCGAGAAGATCGAGATGAGCTGTAAGGCGCACGGTGAGAAGCCCATCATGGTGCGGTGGGAGAAGGAGGTGGAGAAGGAGAAGCAGTCCCACATGATCAACCCGGACATGTGGAGGCACACGGTCACTGTTAAGAAGGTCGGCGAAGAGGTCATCTCCACACTAGAGGTACGTGCGATGGGGCAGTGCTGGTGTTCGCATTGGCCTGCTTGATTTATTTAATCTTATCAACATATCTGATATTTCTCATTGAGATTATTGTAAGAATATTATAAGAATATTGTTGTAAGAATATTAGAAGAAATTTTGACTTATTTCTATACATTTTACTTGAGAAACTGTCTTATTCCATTCGCAGATCATTTTACCTGTATTGAGAAATAATGCAGATAATGTTGCTTAATTTAAGGAATATTATTTGAAACAAGTAAAACGATCTGAATTAGATGATTTCACTAGATAAAATGACTTAAAGCAAGCAAAAATGTACAGAAATAGGTTAAATAATTTTAAAATATACTTAAATAAGTTTCTTTAACAATCTTAAAATGAGAAAATATTAGATATATTGACTAGTTTATCAATTGTTGAGTAACTATCCTGGAAGTTCTGGACTTATGACAGTATGGAATTGAGATGTGGTCCCACACGACCCTTAAAATTCTTCTTTGAGGGGAACTCCACAGATTTTTCTAAATTTCTGCATAATTCAATAGTTGAGATGTAAACAAAGTCATTCAGAGTGGTTAAAAATGGTTCATTGAAACTTGCCGACTTGGCTTTCTTTACAGTGGTGGTGATAGGAACCAGGGCTTACAATATCTCCAACAGACGTATAGTATAGTATAGTATATGTTCATGATGGTAAAATAATGGAAAATCCAAACTATTTTGCCTTAAAACAGCCTGCATTTACCTCTCCACCATGAATGAATTTAAAAAAATGCGTTTAGGCTTTGTCGCAAAACTATCGTTAAACAGTCAGGCAATGTGTTCATAACCATTTCATGTAAGAGGCATTAAAATCTTCAGGCGTCTGGTTCCTATCACTACCACTGTAAACAATTCTGCAAATTTACGATTCTGTAAATTTCTTTAGAACAGAGTATTGCACACCAAACCACTCTGAATGACTTTGTTTACATCTTAACGATTGAATTATGCAGACATTTTGGAAAAAACAGTTGAATTTATGAGGAGTATTTCAGTTCTTAGTGCTTTTTGAATGATGCACAGTACACGGTAGCCAGTCAGAACGGAGCTCATTACATATATCAGTCTTAAGCTTTTAACAGTACCAAAAACAGGCAGTTTAATTCTAAGGACTAAATAGATGTTGGAAGATGGTCATGCGACCATTTTTGGTATATAAAACCATTCCAATGTTATAAGTGGACCTCAAGGGGAAAATTCTAATACAAGAGACGTGTAGGATATGAGCTTTTTAAGAAGTCTAGAGTTACTACTGTTGTTTTGCTATAGTGTTTAAATATAGTTAGTTGTCATATAAATTACCTGGTTACCTACTGACTTATATTTACATTTTATAATCTGTGTAGACAGATGTGAGATTTTCAGTCTGTTTCAGTGCCAAACACTGACAAAACCCTGGCGATAAAGTAAAGAGTTACTGGAAAAAGCTGTACGCACAACAGTAACTCCATCACTATGGTATGAGTTAAAAGTCAACAGATTTTCGCTGCTTGTGTCAAGAAGCTACAAGTGAGATGTGATTAATATTAAACAACAACATGCTTTTGTTATCATTGCTTAAATCTGCAGTATTTAAGGGTTAACACTCAATTCTAGAGGAAATATGTTGCAATCCTGCCAGCTAGAGGCTACAAACGGTATTACGGCAATCCTACAAAGTGTTCCAGAGTTAATTTCACATGCAGATTAAAAGTGAAATGGGCCCTTTTAAAATCAATTTCTGTCCATCTAGATCTACCCGACTCTGAGGGAGGACTCTGGCTTTTTTTCCTGCCATGCAATCAACTCCTATGGTGAAGACAGAGGGATTATTCAGCTTACAGTTCAAGGTAAGAGCTCCAGCATGACTCGAGTGTCATTAATATTGGTTAGAAAAATCTGTTTATATTATCCTGTTGCTCAACTAAATGGCTTTTTTTTCCACTGTGTGTCCTCAGAGCCCCCAGAACCTCCCAAAGTGGAGATTCGGGAGGTGAAGGAGAGGACCATCGCCCTTCGCTGGACGATGGGGTTTGATGGGAACAGCCCGATCACTGGCTACGATATAGAGTGCAAAAATAAATCAGGTACAGCCTAGTGTACAGACTGCTGTCGTATATTGAGCGTTTACATAATTATAATGAATGAGTGGTCCTTCACCTGATTCAACTTGGTCAGTTAATCAACAGGGTTTTCCAGAGAACCAGGTTATGATACCACTGCTATCATAATAAGCAGCGACACATCAAAATAAATCCTGTCCTGTAACCTGTATCAAGCACACTTTCGTAACAAAAGCCATGCAGCTGGTGTCGGTCTCGTAAAATGAGGCTTGCCAAGTGGAGTGATGCTCTTTGGGGCCTGCGGGTGAGTTCAGGGCCATTATGTGTTCAGAGTGATGTCAGATATAGATCACGTTAAAAAGATAATGTGAAAAACCTAACGTAAATCACATTTGGGCCACTTTTACCAGCCTTAGAGTACAGAAAATACTAAACTGCACTCTTAAAAAAGGGTTCTTTGTAGTCATGCCATAGAAGAACCGCCTTTAATTCTCATAAAACCTTTTAATATATGGTTCTTTAAAAGGTGGACAAACTTTTTCAAGTTAAAAGGATCTCTGCATAGCATAACACTTACAGGTTAGTCCTAAAACCATGCATTAGGGCCAGGAACCTGTTAGGAACCTTTATTTTGAAGAATGTATGCAGGACAGTAGTTGGGGTCATATTAAAGCATTCTGGGACCCCTAGACTAACTGTACCTTGAGGCCCCTACCACACCTCTATCAATACACCAACATGTTCATCATGATTTTAATACCGTTTAACATTGTTAAATGTAAGTTTGTTTGCTTTTTTAAGCTCAAGTTTTGGTTATGATTTCTCTTTTTCATATTTTCTGCTTGACATCAATCAGAGGTAAGCTTGGGCTCAGTGAAATGAATATAGGCTAAAGCTGCCTGTGGTTATTGATTAAACAGAGGACTTGTACAGAGGAGAATTACCACTCTGTAATGTCTTCTGGGTTTCTAAAACGCTAGAGGGCGCTCCCGAGCGAGTCCAAACTGAATGGGTGAAGATTTGAGCAAAATCATAGTTTATAAATGCTTAAACATTTTTAAGATAAAGGAATGCATTCGTGTCCTGAACACAGAGCAGCATAAAACATTTTAACACTGCTGTTATATTTTAAGAGCTTTTAAACTCGAGTTATAGGAGTTTAAAACAGCGCCTCATGTACGTTCATGACGTCTGTGAATGCGAACAGCCAATGAGCTGCTCCGCTCACCAACTAATCATCACTCAGTAGCAGTAATGTAGTATTGTACTGCACAAAACCCGTTTGCTGAAGAAAAAAGGAAACATACAGGTGAGTTTTCTTTGCTTTTTTAGTGAAATACATCCTTCTACTTTCTAAAACTAAAGGAGTAACAAAGTTCTGGTTCAGTGATTAGAAACTATTTTAACTTTTCGTTTTTAGCCATTTAGCCCCATTCACTCCCATTCATTGAGGACTCGCTCACGGGCGCCCTCTGCTGTTTTGCAGTCATGTCTTTGATATAATGGGGGAAATAAGAAGTGGCCAGGCTCCTCATAAACTGGCTCTTATTGATTAAAGGTGAAGTTAGATACAGAGTAAATCAAAGCTCTTTTGCTCTTTTGCAGTTGTTATTATCCCATTCTCAGTCGTGCCTGCAGAGCCCCCTGGTGGCTGGCGCTTTCAGTTGCAGCCACTAAATCTTGTTGGGTTACTACAACCTTGGCAGTACTACCAGATCATTATAATAGAAGGAGAAGGCATTTCACTAGCTTAAAATAAGATGAATGGAGTCTGTATTATGCAAAGTCCTATCATTCAGTAAAAGTTAGTAAAGGTATAAGCGGGGGGTAAAGGTATGACTTAGATTTGCTCACCTGAAAAACAATTTCTTGTGTTGTTTGAGCCAAACACCACAGACTGTTCATGCAGTTTTCAGATTTTACTTGTAATTTCACTTTTAATTGGCCTGGCTTTCAGTACCAGGTATGTAGGTCTCTCCCCATTCAAGTAAGTTGGACCCTTGTAGTGACTAGAAATAACTGCAGACTCACAGACTTTACTACAAGAACCCTTGTAGTTCTCAAGAACAAGGGCTGAAAACTTCTTCTGTACAGACTTACTTTAACTCTTCGTCCTGCTCTGTGTTTTACAGCAACCTGGGACAAAGCTCGCAGGACCAGGGACGTCTCCCCCACTCTGAATCTGGCCACCATCATCGAGCTCCACCCTTCATCCACCTATAACATCCGCATGTTCGCCAAGAACCACATCGGAGACAGCGAACCCAGCAACGAGCTCACTGTGACTACAGATGAAGCAGGTAACACCCAAATCAAATCACAGCAAGACATTAAAGGCGTATTCCAAAGATGATTTCATTTATACTTCATGCATATTTATGGTCTAATTCATATTTGTAGAATGCTTAAGAACCAATATAGCTTAAAGGGGGTTTATCGGATCCTAGAAACAAATAGCGATGACATGATAAAAGGTATCAATCAATCAATCAATCTTTATTTAACCTCAGAGAACATAGAGGGTGACCCTCATTTACAGTGTTGCCGAGTTGATGTAGAAAAAGGGTTTGATAATGTGTCAGAACATATCAAATAATAAAAGTTAATTTAATAATAAAAATGACTCAAATCAGGTAAGTATAAAAAAAGAAACATTAATAATAATACTAATACATAAAAACGGTAGAAAATATAAAACAATAATTAAAGCATAATTAAAAAGTAAAAGTTAATAAAATCAAAGGAAGATAAATGAAACAAAAGGAGGATAAGATCAAAAAAGGAAACTTATAATAATAAAATAATAAAATGAAATAATAAAATAATCATCATTAAAACAAAAATAAGAAGAACTAAAATAATGAAAATCAAGTAAATCAAGTAAAACAGTTTCAGGCAGAGGTTAGGGAGTAAAAAGTTTAAGAAGACTGAGAGACACCAGTGAGCTGAGGGATAATGAGATGATATTAGCCTATAATATTTATTGGTAAACAGGCAGTACACTGTACACAAATTTGTTCCAATTTATACTCAGAAGCGAAGCATAAACAGTACTGGAAATATACTGCAATCCTGCCATCTAGTGGTGCGAAATAGTATTATTCATTTCTCAGCTCAAGAAAAAAATGGATACAGAAGACACTTATGAGATGACACATTATTTATAGGTAAATATATGTAAACTGCAATTTCTGTACGATCCATTATGGATGTTCAATACATTTGAAATAACTGACATTCTGCACTTTAACTTCATAGTCACTGCTTCATTTCAAATCCAGTGTACTGGATTACGGGATGTATGTGAAGATATGAGAAGACATAAATGATGATTAGTTATGATTATGAGAAGCAATTACAGACTGTTTTTTGTGTGTATCTAAATAGAAATCTATGTAATATCACCTTTAAACAAATACCAAACAATGCAGAATTACAAAAGCACCAGAAAAACAGGACTAGACTAGAAAAACAGTCAGCATTTCCTGAAAATATAAATAAATATATGTATATGTAAAGTATGCAGTATGCTTTTTCCCTCTCCTGTAAAGTTATCATTTTGGAATATATATTTTTATGTATATGTATTTAATATGTATTTAAACATATATTTTTGTGAGTATATATATATATATATATATATGCTTACAACAATATATGTTTAAATACTTAAAAGCCATCTAATATTGCAGCCTTTAACAGTGTGTTTATCATGGAAACTCATATCACGTTTACAATAAATTTGAATTATGTGTCCAGTTACTTATGGGCTGTACGGTAATTATGATTTTCCAGTGTCTCCCTGACAGGATAGCAGGCCTGTAGTGTCTTTAAAGAATGTAAGACAACTTGGATTAACACTGGCATGAAATCACTTTTCTTTCAAACTGAAAGTGGAGTCTCAAAAGCTGATATCTAGATACTCACAGGTCTGATCTATCTGATATAAGTGGGTGAACCAGGTAACTTTGACTGGACTCATGTAGGCCAACCATATATTAGTTTTCATAGGCCGTTTGTGAAAGCCTCAGTATTACTCTGCACTGTTACTGAGACACTGCCTGCAGTTACAGTGTGATTGTTTATGTGTTTCAGATCCTGAAGGTCCACCTCAAGATGTGACTCTTGAAGCGATTTCTTCTCAGAGCATCAAAGTTACATGGAAGGTATAAAAGTGCATTTTCATCCAGCTTTTCTCGTGGTGCTGTGGGGCTCAAACAGAGGTGGAATGTACCCAGTTAGCCAAATTACTCTTATTGCAGTACTTTTTATTATTTTTCCCCGTAACTTTTTTACTTTTTTATTATAACTCATTAATATTATTTTTAGTTTAATTTGAGTTTATTTCTAATGAAATGTTCAGCTTTGCCATTTTAAATAAAAATAAAAAACTCATTCAGCCTGAGGAAATAACTAGCTGACTAGCTAGTTTATCTAGTTAAATAGCTATAGTGTCTTTAACCACTTTCTTTTTGAGCACAACAAGCGCAACAACATCCCTTTATTTAACCTAAAGCTGTTGGTTCTATTGTGAAGGTACATTGGTTAGCCTGTTTAAGTAATGTAAGGTAATGTTCAGTGTAGGCTAATGTTATCTTATGGCTAATAAACCTAGTGTAACCTGGAACTTTTTTCCTGTAAGCCTGATATTAATATAAAACAATTAAAACAACGTAGTAAGTAGTTTATCAGAAAATAACTTAAGTACTCTTTCCACTTTGGGATCAAACCACTACAGCATGGGTCGCAGCCCAAATGTTAAAAAGAGCCTTTTTGTCAAGTTTCAGCAAAAATCAAACCACCTTGGGAGCCACAACATTTCATGTCCATTTTATTGAAGTATCGTTTCACCATCTTAGCTGTAAATATGTTTCAGTATGTGCTGATGTCCTAGTGTAGGCTTAAGATATAAATATGAACAAAAACACAGACTTACTTTGCTCTGCTTTAAGCTTTAGCTCATCTTTTCTCGCATCTCCGGCAGGAAACTATTCCTCAAAAGTAAAACAAGTTTCTTGTAAAATGTCTCTAAATGTTCGACTGTTTTGAAGCTGAAGTCGCTTCTCATTCTCTAGCTTCTTATTCAAATGTTCCCGTTCCACCTTAAATGGTGCCTGAGGGTGCCAGAATGTAACTGCTGCACCATTTAAGGTGGAATGCGAAAATTCAAACAAGAACCTGGCGAGTGAGAAGCTGACTACAGCTTTTTTCATTAGCTACTAGCTAGGCGAGATTGCTGTCTGTGTTGCTATGGTGACCAGCAGTCTGCATGCCAAACTTCAGGGTTAAAGGGCGAATTATCAGTTCTACATTAACTCCAGTGTTTAAGACCATTTATTGTTAAACTGTGTTGAACGATCAGCAGAGCTTTATTTTACTGTAAAGGAGGATTATTTTATTTTTACCTACAAATCTGATTCTGCTGTGGAGCCACAACAGGACAGTAAAAGAGTGTTGCCGACCCCTGAACTACAGTATAACCAGTTTAAATTACAGATGATTATTGCAAAGAATTTTAGTATTTTGTTTCATTTTATATGAAGTTATAACCTGCTGTATTCTCTCTCTCTCTCTCTCTCTCTCTCTCTCTCTCTCTCTCTCTCTATGTCTCTCTCTCTCTCTCTCTCTCAGGCTCCTCAGAAACACCTCCAGAATGGGATGATTCGAGGGTATCAGGTGTGCCACAGAGAGCACTCGATGAACGGAAGTCACCAGTTCATCTGCATCAGCGTGGAGAGCACAGGCGAGACCGAAACGCTGACCCTCAACAACCTGAAGAAATACACTCAGTACGAGGTGGTGGTGCAGGCCAGCAACAGTGCAGGCCCCGGCCCGGCATCCAGCGAAGTCCGAGCCACTACTATGGAAGACGGTAAGACCACAAACGGAGCATGGGGGGCTTACTTGTGTTAAAATTTGACCAGAAAAAAATCTGTGAACAATAGAATTTCTCATTTTTATATGGATCGTTCTACTGAATTGGTTCAAAGTCAGAGTTAAAAAGACATTTCAGACTTTTAACTGAGGTGGACTAAAATCCTTTTGCTCTCAGAGACCCTGTACATTAATTATGTTTATTTTATCAAACAAATAAACACTCATAAAAGCAAACACAATCAAAAAACAATCATTACGCTATCAAAACTTTACCAAATGTTTCACTAGTGACTGTTTCAGTGACAATTTTAGCTCATTTTGAACAGAACTCAAAAAACTGTAGCCAGTATATGACTAGCAAACACAGCTTTGAACAGCTGTACACACAAAAAATCATATTTTTTATTAAAACACAAAAAAGTACTTAGTTGCAGAAAAAATGTGTTTCGGTAGTGACAGTTCTTAATGTTTCACACTTTCGGACACATTTACTTCAAAACAGTGGGATCTAAATGCTCACCATGTGGCCATGAGGGACAGGGATGCAGCCTCACCTCCTGCTTTAAAATGCAGGGGCGTGGCTAAAATAGGGCTCCGCTTGCGGACTAAGACTCTTTGTGTTGGGTAGTGACATGAAAACGTGGGACAGCATTTTTAAACATTTTTTTTTTATTTAAAAATTAAACTTATGGTAAATCTAAATCTTTAATTTGACTTTAATAATAAAAACTTAAAGGGGGTTAGGGTTTGGGACAGACACCTCTCAATGGAAAGTACCCTATAAATGATCATTTTATATATTTATATAATTGTATATATTTAGCTTATTTCTATGTTAAATAATATATTGGCTTTGAAGAGATCATATCATAATCCTTGTAAATATGTAAGGTGTAATTACCTAATTGTTTTTTTTTATAGTTTTTAAATAGGACTGCAGTTTGAACCAGTTCAGTAGAATTGTTTCTATACAGTGTAAATAAATATTTGCATTTGATTAAGCTGAGCGTCACATAATCAGCTTATTGAATGTGAGATGTAAATTATTGTTCTGTTAACTTTTAGTCATTAAAGAAGTTAAAACAGCTTTTTCACAGTGTATTCGCTGTCATATAAAAACCTACTGACTTTTTTCTGATTTGTTTGGAAACACTTTACATTGCGTGAACCATTTATGATGAATGGACCAATAGAAATAATCCAGGATTACTTGGAAAAAACCTATTTTCATTAACAGACATTAATGTTACTGTATTGATCTTTGTGGATCTGTACATGTGTGTAGTCATCAGTTAGTGAAGTTACACATAAACAGCAAACCTCTAAATCAGAGGCCCAAACAAAGAGGCATTACTGTTTTTATTATGAATTTATTAGCTAATAATCTGATCAATTTATCTTACATTGCATTTTAAATGTTTGTGTTGGTCTGCCATGACTATGCCAGGCATTTCCATTGAACAGTACAGTACAGAGAACATGATATTTAATAAACAATTTATCAGGAAACATTTATCTGTTAAAAAACAACACATTAGAACAAAAGCAAATAAACTGGCAAAAACACGCTTTCTTACTTCCAAGATTCCTAGTTTTCTTGGCTGCCTAAGACTTTTGCACAGTACTGTATCTTACGAGCCAACACTGCTAATGTTTATACACTTACATCATCATATGACATTAATCTGATACTGAGAGAAAAATCACAAATAACAACTGAAACATTTACATGTATGATGGTTATTCGGGTGCATCAATAGCAATCAGACTGTACCAGCAGAGCAACAGAGTAGCATTCGTAACAATTATAAAAGCAGCCTACCTTACTGTGAAGATACTTGTGGCTTGGGGTTTTGGGCAGTATGGTGACAGTTATCGTTATCATGCTAAATTATGCCATAGTGTGCTTATATCATCAGTACTTCAAGAACACTGACTGCCTTTTTATTACAAAGAGAGCATAATTAGTGTTGTTTAATTGGATTCAGTTTGTGAAATGTTCAATAAAAGTCATTGTATGTGCCACTGTTGATTCTCTTTGGTCAATTTCAACTTAACAAACCTCAGAAGAATTAAATATTGTGATCCATATCATGTATTGTGAAAATGTTTTGAAGTATCATCTTGTTATATTTATGCCGTATCGGCCACCCCTTAATGCAAGCTGTTATGACTGGACTAACTTAGCCACTGTTTTTTATTTAATATTAAAGCTACAGGTCATCAGACCTAATGGCATGTGTTGTCGTTGTAAACCCCTATTAAAGGTGCAGTGTGTAAGATTTAGGGGGATCTATCAGCAGAAATGGAATATAGTTTACAAAGCCATTAATGTTCATTTGTGTATAATTCACCTTTTTGTTAGCTTAGAATGAGCCCTTAATATGTACCGAGGGAGCGGGTCCTCTCCCAGTAGAGGCTGCCATATTGTGACGTCAGTTCTACAGTAGCCCAGAACGGACCAAACACTGGTTCTAGAGAGCGGCTTTTGCTTTTTAACTCTTATACATTGAAGCACAGCTTGAATTTGGTGGCGCTATATCACCGGTTGGAAGACGTAGAAGGAAGAAGAATCAGTGGTTGCTGCCATTTTTTGTTGTGAGAAGTTTGAGGACCCAGATTTTGGCAAATGGAGGATCACACTTATTATTTAGCACAAGAAAAATCAAGGGAGGGTGAATCCTCATCATCAAAGAAGCAAAAACATGAAGAAGCAAAATGAAATCAGGACAGGAGACAGCAGAAAACCTGAGTAGGTTCTACTACATGCTTGGAAAGGGAGGGGTGAGGGAGGGGGATTCAGTCGGTTGCAGTGTGCACCCTCAATACTAGAGGCCACTAAATTTTCCACACTGCACCTTTAAGTTTTGGCTTCCATAGCAAAGAACTTGTAGAGAGGAGAATTCCCACTCTGTAATGTCTTCCGGGTTTCTCAAACACTAGAGGGCGCTCCTGAGCGAGTCCAAAATGAATGGGTTAAGATGGAGCATTTGAGCAAAATCATAGTTTATAAATGCTTAAACGTTTTTAATATAAAAGAATAAATTCATTTCCTAAACACAGAACAGCAAAAAGCATTTTAACACTGCTGTTATATTTAAGAGCTTTTAAACTCGAGTTGTAGGAGTTTAAAACGGCTCCTCATGTACGTTCATGACGTCTGTGAGCGCGAACAGCCAATGAGCTGCTCCGCTCGCCAGCCAATCAGAACCCAGTAGCAGTAATGTTAGCGTCCTGCTGCCCAAAACCCGTTTGCTGCAGAAAAAGGAAACATACAGGTGAGTTTTCTTTGCTTTTTTTTAGTGAAATACATCTTCTGCTTTCTAAAATTAAAGGAAAGTTCTGGGCGAGTGATTAGAAACTATTTTAGCCCTCTGCTGTTTTGCGATTCAGTTTTTTGATATAACAAGGGAAATAAGAAGTGTCCAGGCCATAAACCGGCTCTGTCCATAGTTTGTTTAGTTAAATATAATAACTGACTTTTTGTTCATTTCATTAAAAAAGTGATGTATTTACGAGCTTATATCACAGCCACCAAAATGGTCGCTGTCGCAAACTCATCCACATCGATGCTGCCCATCTCAGGTCCTGGAGACCTGAAGTCCACTGTAGTTTGGTGAGCATCCTCTGCTCAAACAATCCAAATTAACTTGGTCATTACCTGCTAAGCTGAATCAGGTTTGTTAGAGCAGAGAAATCACCAAATTGTGCTGGACTCCGTCACTATTTTCATTCTAAGAAACCCAGTTTGTTAATTTACCAAATACATAAAACTTTAAACACTTCTTTTCTCTTTTTTGAACTGCTCAGTGCCCAGCAGACCTCCAGAGAAAGTTCAGGCCACAGCCACATCTCCAGAGACCATCTCACTGTCGTGGTTGACTCCAGCCAAGGAAGCTCTAAACGGCGTCCTGCAAGGCTTTCGCATCATCTACTGGGCCAACTTACTTGATGGAGGTACAGCACAGACTCTGACGTCCACAACAACATTCATGCATCTTTCAGAGTTAACATACATTTTAGGATGTTATTAATACATCCGGAAAGCAGGGATTAGTCTGAGCACCTTACTCTAATTAATGAGATGTTGACGCAAAAATGTCAGATGGCATTCGTTATCATGAGTGATTAAACTGGAAGTGCAGCATGTTAATCATGAGTAAATGCCTATACAACATGTGCCACACACATCACCCACTTTATTGGAAACCTCCATTTTTTGGTTCCACTCCCTGGACACTCTGTGGGCTCCACCTACCTTATGTGTCCAAAAGTTTCTAGACTCATCCAGCTTCTGAAATCAAAGGTTTTAATAGGGAGCTTGCTCCCCCTTTGCTGTTGCAATGACAACCTCTACTCTTCTGGGACGGCTTTACAGTAGATGTTCACACTTGGCAGGTTCCATTCAATTAAAACGAACCCCAGTGTAATTGCTCTTTTAGTGCAGTTCGTTAGAAAAGCATGAATGCTGCTATGCGACGCCTGGTGCGCCTGAAATAAGCAGACCCCAACCGGTGCAGACGACATGAAATACCGTCAAATTCAAAAGTTTGTTTTTTGTTGATATTCTAAGTGAAAATAGGTGAATACATCCGCTGCAAAGAACACACTTAAATATGGCATTTTTCTACATATTTAAGTTCATAATTGCTATTTATTTGCTGAGTTTAACTGTTACAAGTCAAAACAAATGAGACACTTGCAGATAAAAAACAGTTTTGAGGTTGTAATGAAAATGAAAAAGGTTTTTAAATGAAAAAATCCAAACTCCATCTGAAGTTGATTGAATCTCATTGTGATTAAACAGGCTGAGGTCACAACTGAGAGAGTTTGAACAAAAAGCAGGGTGGGCTGGGCCAGGATGGGAGGGGACAGGACAGGACAGGAAAACCAAGGCAATACTTTGCAAAGAATTAGATCCTCCTTTGCAGTAAAATAAAGCTCTGCTTTTCTAACACAGTTTTAACAGTTAATGGTCTTAAACTCTGGAGTTAACGTATAACTGCTAATTCCCCTTTAACCCTGAAGGTTGGTGCGTTGACTGCTGGTCACCATAGCAACACAGACAAGCTCACCTAGCTAGTAGCTAACAAAAAGGCAAAACGGAGAGATTTAGAACATTGATAATTTGGAGATGATTGGTCTTATCTGAATTCATAATCACTCCAGCTGGTTTCCTGATATGTTTAATCTGCAACAAGAAACTGTCAAACACTAAAAAGGTGCGAAGCTGAAGTTGCTGCTCATTCGCCAGCTTCTTGTTCGAACTTTCCTGTTCCACCTTAAATGGTACAACAGTTAGCTACAAAGTTAGCTACATTCTGGTGCCTCAGGCACCAGGAAAATTCGAACAAGAAGCTGGTGAATGAGAAGCGACTTCAGCCTTGTAAAAAGTTAACGTTCAGAGACATTTCACAAGAAACTGAAAAGTTTCCTGCCAGAGATGCGAGAAAAGTGGCTATAGCTGACCTAAAACTTAAAGCAGAGCAAAGTAAGTCTGTGTTTTTGTTTGTTATATTTTTTGCCTATACTAGGACATTAGCCCATACTGAGACATATTTCAGCCAAGATGGTAAAACGTTACTTCAATAAAATGGACATGAAATGTTGTGGCTCCCAAGGTGGTTGGATTTTTGTTGAAACTTGACAAAATGGCTCTTCTTAACATTTGGGTGTTAAGAGGAGCGCCCCATTGTATTAGTCAAAGCTTTTCTATGAAGATTATACACGGTCTGGGTGCACAATTAAGCACCTAGATCAATGGGTGCACCTTAAAGTAGCTGAATTTACTAATTAGAAGCCTCATTTCTGGGGTTTTTACCTGTCAGCATCACTGCTAGGTTGAGGGTGGACTAATACCCAAACATATCCAGCCAAGAGCAGCTCTGTGGTCAGAAACTGACCACTATAAAGGACTAAAGCATAACTAACTGTGCAAACAAATGTTCTACAGTCTCTAACTGTACACCAGCAAGGTGGAGCTACTACAAGGGAGGGTTTTAAACAAAGTGGCCAGTGAATATACATGTATTATGTTCTTAGACATAATGTTGAATAGTCTCTCATATTGCTGAATGATATATAAATATGAACTCAGCATATTATGTTCAGTATTTCACCACCACCAGAGGGCAGAACAGACTCTTAGGTTAGTGTCCTGCCGTAAAAAGGGGGGCAACACTAATAGATTCAATTACATTAATGTGCCATCTCGGCACAAGTAATGCTTATTTGAAACTGGACCTGATTAAGCTTGTATAAATGGATGGATAGTTAATCATTAAAGCTCCCAGCTTTAGTGGACCCCACTGCAGCTTATTACTTAATCCATAAAGGGCATGCTGCCTAGTGCCTGTTCGGCTATTTTCAGCACCTATTAAAATACTGCATCATAGTCTCAGATGGTCCTCTGTTCAGTGATACAAATACACAACGGAGTAAAGAGCTGTATTACAGAAATACCTCTTAATCCACCCATTCTCTAAAACTGTTTGTGTTTAGATCACATGTAGAACTCACACCTGAATGGAGTGAACATTAAAGCAGGAAAGACAGTGGCTTGTTTCCAGTCTGCTGCAGGAATAGAGAGAAAAGAGAGGAGAAAATATAGACATCAATAATTTAAAGATTTCAACTTCCAGGGCCAGCTTCAGACAGAAGGAGAGAAGCCTTTCTGCTCACTATAGGAGCTGAACTGGGTTACTATCCTGAGCTTATTTTATGTAATGATTCCTTTTTTTATCAGTAATAATTGTTTGTCAAGACATAATGTCACATAACATTAGGGGTCGATATTTAATGTTATTGTGATAAGTTACTTTTCTGGGCATGTTGTGAGTATCGTCATCACTTAAACAACACGCATGTTCCATTACACGAGAGTGTAGTTAGTCCAGTTTAATTGGATTAAACTGGACTTAAATTAGTGCAGCACAGTATGTGAACCATTGAATAAAAATCACCGTAGTCGTCATTTTCGTTTCTTTTTCAAATGTGGCACCACTTTTTCTTTTTGCCTACTCCAACTCATCAAACCTCAGACAAATGAATTATTGTGATGCATATTGTGTATTGAGAAAATGTTTTAAAGTATCATGATATATATTTGCCATATTAGGATTATGTGACATCATATACACTTTTGAATTACTTCTATGTTTGACTTGATACTATTGAGAACCAGGGATACACTGTTAGAAATAAAGGTTCTGTGCAGGTACATTTTTTCGTTCATCAAGGTACAAACAATGTAAATGTTCCCTCAGAGGTACAACAGTGGTTTTAAGGTCCAGTTGTGTACCTTAAATAAGTTTTTCCAGGTGAAAAGTTTGTATTTGTACCTTTTAATAACCGAATGTTTTAAAACAGAACAATAAAACTAAAAAGCCTGGAGACGAGACGGGGTGTGTGGAGTCAGTACAGCTTAGAAAACATATAATTTCAGTGGATTATGGTTCAGTTATGTTCCCTGACTAAAGGTACTGAGATGGACCTTTGAGGGTACCACCCCAGTGACAAGAGGGGAACTGCCCCAGTGACAGTTAGTTAAATAGTTTATTACCAAAACCTCCAGCCTCACAAAAACCACACATTCAGATGAGATGTTTTCATGTATGGACTGTATAGACAGTACGTTTAGTAATGTTGACAATGTTTACAGATCACATCAGACTCCTGGGCCATTTAATATTCTCCTTGATGTCTCACGCATGACATGCAGCTCCCTTCCTTCGTTTTCCTTGTGAGATTGTATGATCTTTTAGTGATCATCTAGTAATGTGTGTGTTTCTCACTTGTATCTCTCCGATCTCTCAGAACTGGGAGAGATCAGGAACATGACCACCCTGCAGCCCCCTCTGGAGCTGGATGGCCTGGAGAAGTACACCAACTACAGCATCCAGGTGCTGGCCTTCACCCGGGCCGGTGATGGCGTGCGCAGTGAGCAGATCTACATCCGCACCAAAGAGGATGGTAAGACTGCATTTCTTTATGATCTTAACTGCAGCGCTTCTGATACTGGATACAGTCCAGAGCATATAGGAGCAGCCAGGAGTTAGAAAAAGTAGGCAGATTCATCTCACATGCTTAAAAATAAAAGATGCCAAACAGGGTTCTTTGAAGCAATAGAAAATCTTTTGATTACCTAAAGAACCTTTCAATGAATGGCATAAAGAACCTTTTTAAAGTTTAAATGTTAAGTGTCAGTTATTTTCCTAGAACTGTATGTTCAAGCCATAAACGCTTTTGAACCTTTATTTTTAAGAGCCTATATATATATATATATACACCAATTAGGCATAACATTATGACCACCTCCTTGTTTCTACGCTCATTGTCCATTTTATCAGCTCCACTTACTATATAGGTGCACTTTGTAGTTCTACAGTTACAGACTGTAGTCCATCTGTTTCTCTGCATACTTTGTTAGCCCCCTTTTACCCTGTTCTTCAGTGGTCAGGACCCCCATGGACCCTCACAGAGCAGGTACTGTTTGGGTGGTGGATCATTCTCAGCACTGCAGTAACACTGACGTGGTGGTGGTGTGTTGGTGTGTGTTGCTCTGGTACGAGTGGATCAGACCCAGCAGTGCTGCTGGAGTTTTTAAACACTGTGTCCACTCACTGTCCACTCTATTAGACGCTCCTACATTGTCAGTCCCCTTTGTAGATGTAAAGTCAGAGACGATAGCTCATCTGCTGCTGCACAGTTTGTGTTGGTCATCCTGTAGTCCTTCATCAGTGGTCACAGGACGCTGCCCACAGGACACTGTTTGCTGGATATTTTTGGTTGGTGGACTATTCTCAGTCCAGCAGTGACACTGAGGTGTTTATAAACTCCAGCAGCACTGCTGTGTCTGATCCAGTCAGACCAGCGCAACACACACTAACACACCACCACCACGTCAGTGTTACTGCAGTGCTGAGAATGATCGCAGAAACAAGGAGGTGGTCATAATGTTATGCCTGATCGGTGTATATCGGTGTGTATATGTATGTATAGCGAATAAGGGATTAGGGAGTTGAACTTGGAAGTGGTAACTAGATAACAAGGTACTACATAAAACATGGCTCAGAATTATTTCTAACAGCAAACCCAGACAAGAACTATATACACACAGACTAACAATGTACAAGATCAAGAGGGAGTGTAGAAATAGGGCAAAGCCAAGGCACCAGTGAACGTCTGTGTTTTGCTGTGTGTCAATGTGCTACAACATTGTAGCTTACAGTTACATTGAACTAGGTTGGAAGAATTGAATCGTTCTTGCTTAGAGTCCCAATGGAACGAGTCACATCTGCTTGAAATTCTCTTTCCAGTTCCAGGCCCACCAGGCGGTGTGAAGGCAGCAGCAGCGTCTAACTCTGTTGTGTATGTGTCCTGGCTCCCCCCACTCAAGCTGAATGGTGTGATCAGGAAATATACAGTGTTCTGCTCCAGCTCGTACCCCACGGTGAGCATCTCCACTACTATCTCTCTGAGCTGCAAGATGTCTTCACTATTCAGATTGAGCTACAATATGTGTCCACAAGCCTGCTCCTCTACCAGATCTTCTGAAATCAAGGGCATTAATAGGGAGTTTGTCTCTAGATGTTGGAAGATTGCTGTGAGGATTTGATTTCATTCAGCCACAAAAGCATTAGTGAGGTCAGGTACTGATGTAGGATGATCGGTTCTGGATCAACTCCAACTCATCAACTTATCCCAGAGGTATTGGATGGAGCTCCATAACTCCAGAAAATGCAGGTCCACTGCTCCACAGCCCAATGCTGGGGGGCTTTGTACATACTAGCCCATGCTTGACATTGGGCGTGGTGACCTCTTGGCTGCTCCAGATTGCACCATTCTATTGGTCAGTGCTTTTCTGTGGAGATTATACAAGTGCTGCAGTGAAAGACAGTCTGGATAATTGTGGATATACAATTTTTTATTATGATTTGAATATGATGAAAAGTTATTGTTGTGTCTTGTTCTGTGGAAAGGAAAGCCCTCCTTTATATTTTTGCCACATTTTGTTATTATTTACTATACTATGCAAAAGTCAGAGGCGCCCCTCATTTGAATCTGCCATTAGTACAGTTAATTTTCAGTGTCAGGAAAAAAAGCAGAAAATGTGTATTTAACAGAAAATTACACAGAAGTCTTAACAACTAAACATAAACATTTTCAGTATTTAGTGTGTCCACTCTGCCTTTATTCCAGCTTCCGTTCTTTTCAGGAGACTCACTTTCAGTTTTTCAAAGAAATCTGCAGGGATGTTTTTCCACACCTCCAAAGTTCTAAAAAGATCTAATTCCAGATTAAACCCGTTGCTGTGTGTAATTACTTATAAGCAGTATAGCAGAACACCAGTAATAACTCTAGATGTCTAAGCCTTAAAACTCTTAACACCCAGCTTTTTACCAAAGCTGTGTCATCAACTTTGAAGTTTCGAGCTGTAACAGCTTTAATGGTGTCCATATTTCTTTCAGCATTTTATGAGTGGACATGTAGTTCACTTGGTGATAAATGCTAACAGACACAGCGGTCAGTGCTAATGTCTTAGTCTGCTTGTGCACTCTCGCGTGTTTCCGTCTCCGCCAGGTGGTGAGTGAGTTTGAAGCCGCGCCAGACGAGTTCCTCCACAGGGTGCAGAACCTGAGCCGGAACAGGAAATACAGCATCTGGGTGATGGCAGTGACCGCAGCCGGCCGGGGGAACAGCAGTGAGGTCATCACAGTTGAGCCTCTCGCCAAAGGTGAGCCAAAAATGACTCCTGTGAGAGAGTAAAGTTTGCTCGACTGACCCAAAGTGCCCCCGTTTGGTGGAAAATCAAATGTACGCCACTTCACAAAGATGGCAGATCAGTTCATTGTAGGTGGTCAAGCCCATATTTTGTCTGTACTTTTGTTCATTTTTATAGACAACAGGTTGTCATGCAAGGCGAGAAACCACATAAGGAAGTCTACTGAGATTACTTAAAGGGTCACTCTGGCCTAAATGAAAAATGTAACCATCAGTACTTCTGTGGAAATCATGCTTACTAGCATCCTAGTGGTGCCACATTAGTCTCTAGAGTGACATTTGCTGGTTGAAAGACTAGGAAAGACTTGTAAAACGCCCATCTGATAAAAACTACAACTGCTTTGGAAAAGTTTTCTTTTTGAAGCTGGTGAATACAGAAGGAAGGCATAGAGCTAACTTTACTGCTGGGAAACAACATCTACAGTTGCATAGCTATAGTAACTGTCTTCAGCATTATTACAATGGAGAACATGGAGAACAGAAATGCCTCGTCAGATGATGAGGACAACAAGCTAAATGCTGAAGTTAGCAAAGTAGCTGCTTGATAATTTCCCTTAGTTTGGCTTCTTTTCCGTAACTAAAAGGTTAGAAAACGTGTCTAGGTTGTCCTGAGTTGAGGCAAACTCTCTGTTTTCTTTATAAGTTTGTTTGACAACAGATTTAAGATTTACACTAATACTAACTCGATTGTGTTTATTAGCCTATTGATCGTGGATAGTGGTCATGATTGGTTGACACCACAGGGATTCCCAATAGTTGTAGGTATATTTGTGTAATGCAAGCTGGATATTGTAGTAAGTGAGCATTGAAGAACAAAAACATGAAAATGATATAAAATCATGAATGCTGTCATATAGATGAGGCTGAGGGATATAATGCTGTGCTACAGTATAGTGGATAAGAGGACAAATAACATATTAAAGACCAGTTTTAGGTCCATTTAACTGGCTTAAAGCAAGTTTGTGGTGATTTGGGTATGCAGTTTGCATTATAATTGGTTTATCTGAAACTATGAAATACTTTATTAAAATTTATTAAAAGCGTTGTCTTTAAGTTTCCATTACTTGTTGATTATATTTTGGGTAAATAGGAGAAAACTTGTGTAAATTGGCAATTTTTTGCCAAACTATGACTTGATTGTAAGACATGTCTGGTCTTTGGGGTCAAAATGGAGAGCCTGTGCCCTCACAAGATTAATATGGCAAATTAGCTTACGGTGCACTGAAAAAGAAAAAAACATTGTACCAGGTTGCAGTTGGTGTCTGCTTTGACATTTAGAATAGCAAACCACACTGTGTTGCATCATGTGTGCTGTTTAGTGGGGACTAAGCTTTGCTTACGAAGTGTACCTTTCAGCAGTGTTGTTTTAGTTCGACATTTAAAAAGTATGCAGCTGTTTCTCAGAGCATATTTCTACATAGTATAATGTGTTTCATGCAGCTCCTGCCAGGATCCTCACCTTTAGCGGCACCGTGACAACACCCTGGATGAGGGATATTGTTTTGCCCTGCAGAGCGGTGGGGGATCCACCACCCACAGTCAAATGGATGAAGGAAAGGTAAACAGAGAGAGTGCACAGAGCAATGAAGGTCACTGATATACAGACAACACAGTGTTGTCAATCACTAATTCGCGTAGAAAATAAAAGTGGGCCTAACACAGAACCCTGTGGTACACCATAAAAAATATTTATTCGCCAAAGCAGTGCTCACCTACTTTCTTCCTTTCAGACATGTGCAACCACTTTAACAAAGTTCCAGAAAAGCCAAACACACTTAACGTCTACTTTGTTTACTTTATGATGATGACTTTATGTCTGCCTATCTTATAGATCAAATATATAGTAGGACTGCTTAAATTTGGTCATTTTTTTTGCTGATACTTACTTTATTTGGACAGCGGTGATATGTAGGTTTACAATTACTTACTGAAGCTCATCTGTTGCTGCACAATTTATCGGCCTCTACCCTTTTTATCATTGGTCGGTTTCTGACCACAGGACTGCTGTTGTCCAGATTTTATTTGGGTGGTGGTCCATTCTCAGCACAGCAGTAATACTGACATGGTACTGTGCATGGTGCTGGCAGGCATCAGTATCCCTGCTGGGCTGAGAGTGGACCACCACCCAAAAATATCCAGAGCAAAAGCAGCTTTGTGTTCAGAAACTGGCCACTGAAGAGGATGGCTAACACAAACCATGCCTCAACAGATCCAGGGTATCTCTAATAGTCTAACCATACACCAGCAAGGTGGAGCTACTAAAAGGGTTTCCAGCACTTCTGCGTCCATTAACTGTGTCGTTTTTAAAAACATCTCGGCTCCTGCGAAGCTAAACGTGGGCAGCGTGCATCCAGGAGTGCAGTGAATCATATGGGAGTGATGTGAAAGCTGGAAAATGTCAAACTCTGCCCTTCTGTAAAGTGCCTTACTGTGTCTCGTCAGCGGGAGCCCGGCACCTGCGGTCATCGATGGGAGGCGCAGTATCCATGGAAACGGTAGCTTTGTAATCAAGACTGTGAAAGCTGAGGATTCTGGGTATTACACATGTGTTGCCAGCAATAATTGGGGAACTGATGAAATAACACTGAACCTGCAGGTGCAAGGTAAGGTGGGATGAATTTACGTAAACATTTGTAATATTTTCAACGTACAGATGTTTGCTAGATAGAGGATATTTTCTCAGTGCATGAATGTTGCCTTTAGTGCCCCCAGATCAGCCTCGTCTCACGGTGACCAAGACCACCACCACATCCATCACACTGTCCTGGATACCAGGAGACAACGGTGGAAGTTCCATCAGAGGTGTGTACATTCAATCATCAGTTATAAGGAAATGTTGCTGTCATAGCAAAGCTTGGTCTCTCTAAAACGATAGCTTCTTAAGACAATGAAAGGACCTAATGGGCCAGATTTATTAAGGAAACATGCTATAATTTAGCAAGATCAGCTGGTTCTAGTTTGCGTCTGACTTACTATGAAAAATAAAACATAAAAAAATTACAAATACTTGAGTTGTGTTAAAGTACTAAACATACTAGCAAATACAAGCAAATAAATACATTATAATGGCTATTTTTATACATTTTCAATTACACTTTATTTTGATAGTCCACTATAGATTCTTTGGAGATGCTCTGTCTATTTTTAACTAACATTCTACTGAATTCTACTCTATTAAATGAAACTAAACTTGAGTTTAGTGAGAAATATTCTATTAAATCTAAGCCTCACACTAACCTTATTGTCAACCCAAAACCTAAACCTCCTCCTAAACCTGACCCTAACCCTAATTATCATGACTGTTGATAATCACCTATCACCAGAAAGTTTGTTCACAATGTAAGTATCTATAGATCGTCTATATTGGACCAGCACAATAAAGACAGCTTAATGGGGAAAAATAGAGATTCTAAGACTTTGCTACAATTATAAGTTTGATAAAGTTAAGAAAAAAAAGGAGCTTGCTTTTAACCCTGGCCCAAGTTTTATTACACACTTCTATAACCTAAGAATAGCTCCATTAGTTTGCAATGAAGTCCCTGTAGTTACTGAATAATAAACCTTTATATCACAGCTGTCGGAACAAAACCTTGTATCTCCATTTTTGTCATTTCTTTTTAGTTTTTGACATATTTTGAAAATGCCTGTTGCCCTTTACATTGTTTGTACCTTTCTTGATGAATGGGCCAAAAGAAACAGCCCAAAATGACTTGGAAAGACATCTGGTTCCATTGACTTACATTAAAAGTAAAGCATGTTTTTTCCTTCTCCTGTAAAGTTACCATTTTGGAGATACAAGGTTTTGTTCTGACAACAGCGATATGTAATAATTAGCCTGGATTGTTAAGGGGTACATACCAAATCTGAACAAGAGTAATTATCTTACTGAATGTTCTTTCTTTCTTTCTTTCTTTCTTTCTTTCTTCAAAGTAATTGCGGCTCCTTCTTCAATGCTTTGAAAAAACATGCAAAAAAACAGTGCCAGTCCTTGCAGTGTATTTTCATTAAGTCAGGCCCGCTAAACTTGCAGCTCTCTGTGAAGTATACAGCCATTAAAGGGCTTCTGTGCGCTGTTGATAAGTCAGCTGTGCTGCAAAACGCATTAGCGCCACTGCAAACGTTGAGTAGATCTGACCCAATATCTGTTAATGCAGCTTAAAAAAACCTGAAACATTTGTTTGATCCATTCATTACAGCACGTCCACACGTCTCCTGGCCTTTTCAGTGCACTCTGGGTGTGTTTTTTAATTCTGTAGTCGTCATCCGATTACTTAACTCATGTCATCCTTCCCATCCTCAAATTCAGGTTACATCCTGCAGTATTCGGAGGACAACAGTGAACAGTGGGGCAGCTTTCCCATCAGCCCCAGTGAGCGCTCGTACCGGCTGGAGAACCTGAAGTGTGGCACCTGGTACAAGTTCACCCTCACGGCCCAGAATGCTGTGGGACCAGGGCGCATAAGTGAGATCATAGAAGCCAAGACTCATGGGAAAGGTATGGGACCGCAAGCTCTTTGCAGTAGAATACAGCCTTTGTATGGAGCTAATATACAGAAACACATGTAATAGGGTTTCCTATTGGCGCAACTGTCTGAGCGTTCACTATTGTTGGGATATCATAAGTGGTGCTAACTGAGAGAGAGCATATCTGGCCCCACTCTCTCTGGGTGGGTAGGAAGGTCCTCCCTCTCCTCCTATTACTCATCTGTTAGCTAACATAACAGAATCAGCAGTTAGCGTTCTCCAAGCATGTTGAGCTCCAATGACGTTGTGTTAGCAGCAGTTTGAAAAGATGTGGTGGAGCCTCGTGTGTCTCAGTCTTCTATATATCCATATCCATACCAAACCCCCCAGTTTGGAAGCATCACATGAAGGGGGAGACGTAGCTACAGGGTGGGACTGACAGTGACTAAAAGTGGGTAAATTGTGTAAAAATCCCCAAAAAAAAGAAACACATTTCATAGTAGGGCTTTTACTGTTGAGTATATTAGTGGTCAAGTGATCTACCATTTATTTTTATGATTAATCGAATAATAAAAGGTTACCTTTTTAGTTGGACTTAACAATTGGAAAGCATGCAAAGACTTACATTCTGATACTTTGTATGATACTATTTTCTTGATCCCCTGTAGAACCGCAGTTCTCCAAAGAGCAGGAACTCTTCACAAGCATCAACACTACATGTGTCCGACTCAATCTGATTGGCTGGAACGACGGAGGCTGTCCGATCACGTCCTTCACTCTGGAATACCGGCCGATGGACAGCCCAGTCTGGACCAAAGCCCAGCGGACATCGCTCACCAAAAGCTACAATCTGATGGACCTACAGGAGGCCACGTGGTACGAGCTGCAGATGAAGGTGTACAACAGCGCCGGGCTGGCCGAGAAACGGGTGAAGTTCGCCACGCTCAACTACGATGGCAGTGAGTAGCTTTAATGATGAGCATTTAATGAGCAGGAGGTTAAAGCAGCAGTGCATAAGAGTTTTTTAGTATAATTGAAAGAAGCAGCATTACTGAGTCAGGAGAATAAAAACAGGCTAAAATAAGGTGAGCATATGCTGCTGTGAGTCGACCTCTAAAGCCTGAAATAGCCATTTAAAAGTCAGAGGTGTCAGGTAGAATTTTGCAGGAGTTTTTCAGACCACATCATAAGTCTTTACATATGAACATCACACACACAGTCTCAAACAGAAGGTCCAGCTCAATGTTTAGGTCTCAAATGCAAAATCAACATTATACTGATGAAGATATGATGACTAGAGTAGATAATTCACTCACATCCTCGGAAAACACGTCCTTCAGCAAGTTTTGCATGAGTTACCAATTCGTCTGCTCGGGAAAAGGGAACAGAGTACAACCAGTATTACAAAATGTTCTTCTGCACAATGTGTGTAATTACAGATTTCCACCTGAGAGGTCTCCAGATCCCCAAATCTTACATAGTGTAGCTTTAAAGTTAAACTGCCCAAACTGATTTCTACATATACAGAGCTTTTTTAAAGGCCTACAGTATTGTGCAAAATTATCACCCTTGATTTATTTCATTCCAAAATTCATTTCAGGAGATATTTCTGAGGAGTTCTGATGTAACATAATCCACTTAGGAAAGTAAGCAAAAAAAGTGCTTCTAAAACATAAAAAAATATCCGCTGTTACTTCAGATCCGAAAAATAAACAGTGTTTTTGTCCGTCTTTCACTGTGTGAAAACAGTTGAAAAAGGAACTGGTCCAAAAGGAAGTGCAACTATCATAAAAAGAGAAATAAATAACTTTTTGACCATTTTAACATTTGGATATTAAACATATGAAGGGCATTCTCTGACTTTCCCACAATACTGAACATTATGGGAAATGCTTTTTGGAGTTATCTCTTCTGTGTAAACATTGAGCCTCGTTCACCATTTATCTTCCTAAGTTTTTCTTATATTTGTTCTGTAGAAAGGTCCTAAGAAAACGTCTTCCTCAGATTCGTGACGTGTTCTTAACCCGCAGAATTGTTCTCACCTTTGTGCTCTTGACTGTGTAGATTCTGTTCTTTCCTAAGAACAAATCCCAAATAAAAAAAGCTTTGGTGAAAGTCAGAATCTTGGTGAAAACTAAAAAAGTGGCTTTTAAGAAGAAATTTCTTCTTAAGAACGGTTGGTGAATGAGGCCCATTGTTAAAGCTACCATTCACTCCCCCATTCACACACTGTCAATGTATGGAAACTGAGTTACACAAACTGTAATTTGAATTCATCGTGGTTGTGATATCACAACCAAATAGCACCAGCCTATCAGCACTGGGGTTGTTTACATTAATCAATTTTAAAAGTGCCGTAACAAAAAGAGTTTGTTTAATTATACAGAGTGGAAAGCGGTGATGTTGCAATGAATTACGACTGTATTTTTTCATAAAACCACACATTTGAATACATCATATGCTATAAATGGACATTTTGTGGAGGAATCTTATCATTTATGTTGGATGGTTCGGGGTGTTTTTCCTCAAGGAAACCCTGTAAGGACACGGTGTAAACAGTGAAGTGAAGACCGTCTTTGCATGGGCTAGTAATTCTCTCCATATAATTGATGTGAAGTACTGAAGTGGAGAGAAACATGAAATATACATATATATGGTGGTTATTATATCAGCAGCAGCGTTCTCTCTGAAATGAAAATGGCTTTGTCAGCCTTTAGCTAGTCATAAAGGTTCCAGCTTCGCTGCTGCTGTGGGTAGTAAAACAGCTCTGCGTTTTATGCTGACTTGAGTCACCGTAGCTGTTGTGTCTGGTAGTTTTTTATGACTCTCTCGCAGACCCCATATCGAGCGGCGCCCCTAGAATTAATACGCGTCTCGCTAATGTGTCGGAAGGCTGCCCAGATGACTGATCCCCCGGCCAGCGACCTGTGAGCAATTGCAAGGCCCGTCCCCCCTCCCCTTTTTTTCTGTGGTCCGGCCCCCCGTGTGCTGCCCCCCACATCTCGCCGCTGTAAAAACCGCTGAGTGCTCACTTAAGAAAGATGAGTTCATCTCTTTTAAGTGGAGCTTCAGTCAAGTGAGCATTATTGCCAATTCTGCAAAGGTCAAGCGCTTGATTGCAATCGCCCTGCAGTTGCTATAGGAGCTAATTCACTCTCAGGCCGATATCTGATTGGTTCCTTTCACTGTCAGTTTGTCCCTGATTGCAAAAAAAGCCAAGCAGAGATAACAGTGAGTTGATTATTTGCTTTAACTGTGTTAAACTCCTCCTGAGATCTTTCCTTTTTTTCTTTTATCCTTCCTTCCAGGCACAATCCCCCCACTGGTGAAGACTGCAGTCAAGGATCCGGTGAAGAAGAGCAGCAATGAAGGAATGAAGATGATGGTGACCATCTCCTGCATCCTGGTGGGCATGGTGCTGCTCTTTGTCCTGCTGATGGTGCTCAGGAGGAGGAGGAGGGAGCAGAGGCTGAAGAGGCTGAGAGGTAAGCGTTCTTTCAGCCATCCAAATGGCAGACTACACTACTTATAGCCAGACAAGAAATATCAAAGGTTGCACTTTCATATTTCAAAATTCACAGCACTCCAGCATTTTGATTAAGGAACAAGTTCTTAAATGCTTGCATTTTGCTCCCCAGATGCAAAAAGCCTGGCAGAAATGCTTATGAGGTAAGAAAGCTTGGATGGGCTTTTTTTTACAATGACTACAGAACTTTATTCCATGCTCTATTTCATTTTCTTCAGTTGGTACCACTTTATTTGGACTGTGCTTACATAACGGCTCCATGACACATGCATAAGCATTTAATAAAATATTGAAAAAGCAATGATTGACTGTTTTTAAATAGCTTATGTTAGTATTCAATAAGAGGTTTTCTGAAGTCAATGAGTGTGTTTACATGCACTTAATAATTTGTCACTAATCCAATAAACGCACTTGAGTAATCAGATAATGGGGAAACTCAGGCAGTCAGGCAGTAATCAGATTTCTGCTTTGCAACCAGCCATTAAACTCACAAAAAAAATGTGACGTAAATGTAATGTAAAACTCAAACATCACACAACTTTACCTGAAAATATGAACAAACATCATCTAGAAGATGAAGAATATTTAAATCCGTTTTGTCAAGCATGTATTTGGTTTCAGCGTCGCACCAAAAGTGTTTTGCTGCGTCTTGAAGCAACGCTGCTCACTTATTTATGGTACAGCGGTCTGTTTCACACATGCACAGACTGAGAGTTTACAAGAGTTTACATGCACTGAGAAATCTGATTACTGAGCTAAAATCCAGGTCTCTTTATCGGATTTTCTTAATTGGATTTCTAGACCTTAAAAATTGGAGTGTGCTGTTTACATGACCACTTGAATAATCAGATAACTGCAGAAATCAGATTACGATCAGATTATTGGGTGCATGTAAACCCACTCAATAATATTGTATTAGCATAAAAACCCTTAAATTAAAGTGACAGAGAGTCTTTCCATTTATAACACTGTTATGAAGCATCACTGGAACATACAAGGCAGAGGCCTAACATCGTATATCAGTTCCACGAAAGATATTTTCCTGTATGACTTTAGTTTGAGAGCGTCTTTCACAAAACATAAAAATGGCATTCTTTATCTCATCATCTTGCGAATACTGACATAAGCTGTTCATAAATACATAAATATTGCTTTTTAAATATGCTGTTCAATGCTCATGCACGTGTTATGAAGTCCCAATGTAAGTAGCCTTCAAATAAAATGTTACACTTCAGATTACGATTCATAATCTATGCTTTGCTTGTAGCTCATATGTCGCTTTAGAAAATCACAGCAGTGTTGTAAGAGTGGACTATGGTCAGTTTGCTTGTGCTCTGTGTGCCTTCAGCAAAAACACCAGGCCGTCGGACACCCTGAACAAACAGCAGCAAACCCTCCGCATGCACATCGACATCCCCCGAGCTCAGCTCCTCATTGAGGAGAGAGACACCATGGAGACTGTGGGTGAGTGAGTACAGTGGTGCTGAATTTAAGGTAGTGAGTTGACTGTGGAGCTGTAATCGGGCCTAAAATCTTATCCCAAATCCGAATACAGCCCAAGAATTTTCTATCTCAACTGAACCCAAGCCTGACTAAATATTGTCTGAACCCAGTCCAACCCAAACCGCATCTTGCAGTTTTCCAAATGTAGTTTTTCAGACATGTAATACAATTGTGCCAATACCATTGCTATTTTTTTTTATCATGTTCTACATATTTTCCAGGTTATTTGCACCAGTAAGACAAAAAGTTAAAAGTTTCATCATCTTTCTCCAAAATTTCACCACATTTAACAATGGTAGTAATGGTCAAATACGGGAATCTCTTACGTTATTGTGATATACGCAAAAGCAGACTTGGTCTTAACTGTTTTAGCCTTTATAAATGTAGTTCATGTCTGAGATCTCTAATAGGGATGTCTCTGCTCTTCTTTCAGATGACAGATCTACTGTGCTTCTGACTGAAAATGACTTCGGAGAGACGGCCAAGCAGAAATCAGCCACAGTAACACATACCGTCCACTACCAGTCACTGTCCCAGGCCACGGGGCCGCTGGTGGACGTGTCAGATGTTCGGCCCGGGACGAGCAAGAGCAGCCTGTCGAGTAAGGGGAAGCTTCTTAGTCTGTTGATCAAAATTTTCATCTCCACTGTGCAAAAGTCTTAGGACAGTCAAGACAATAGTCTAGGACTATGAGAAGGCAGTAAGTGTGTTTTTGTTCATATATGCCATTAGGTATAAAAAAAAAAAAAATCAGCATTAGCAAATGTTTTTAATTAAGCTATTGTTGCCACCTAGGATACCATAGCAATAGCATAGTAGCACCTTAGCAATCACCTGGGATACCTTTGCAACAGCATAGCAATACCTTAGCAACTACCTAGGATACCATAGCAATGACCTACAACACCTTAGCAACTGCCTGGGAAAGCACAGCAACAGCATACAACATATTAGCAACCACCTGGGATATCATAGCAATGGCCTAACAACACCTTAGCAACCACCTGGGTTACCATAGCAACACCTTAGCAACCACCTGGGATACCATAGCAATAGCATAGCAGCACCTTAGCAACCACCCGGTATACCACTGCAACAGCATAGCAACACCTTAGCAACCACCTAGGATATCATAGCAGTGGCGTAAAAACCACCTAACAACCATCAAGCAACTATCTACCATTAGCATTAATACTAATCAACCTGTTTAACCCCTAAAAAACAATCAACAATGTTCTGCAACTGCTTTAACATTAGAGGAGTTATTGCTGGATTTGTGGAGCCGACTTAAAGTTCATTCACACACTTTACCTCTCTAGGTTGATTTATCCCCTTAAACTGCAGGGTGATAATTCAGTTATTAAGCTTAATCATTGACTAATCTTAAAGTTTTTCAAAAATTCTTCATATTTCAGTGTTTGAGATGTAAACAGAGATATTCAGAGTGCTTTCATGTGAGAAGGTTAATTGTAGAAAAACTTACTGACTTAGATGGTGATGGTGGAACCAGGGGTTGTGATGTTTACAACAGAAAGATAGCAATTTTTTACTATCCAAAACCATCAGTGAACCTACACACGAATTTTTTTAGTTTTTATATGTAATATTCATGATGGTAAGTTCTTTTGCCTACATGTACCTGTCTCTGCCATGAATGTGTTTATTTTCCTTTTTTTCTGCCAAAATTGCATCTCAAAACTATTGTAAAACAATGTCTTGGGCGTCAGGCACCGTATTCATAGCCATTTTATGTAACAGTCTTTTGTGAGGGAGCTTTTAGAGGCACTCAGCTCCACCACTGTGAACAATTCTCACTCTATAAGTTTCTCTAGAACGAAGCGTTTCACAGCAAACCACTCTGAATGGCTTTGTTTTCATCTTAACCATTTCATTATGCAGATATTTTTGATCAAATGATTGTTATGTGATGTTTATACTGAGCAGATAAACACTTACTGCACAGATACACAGCTTTTCTCTGGTTCCCTAAGATTTCCTTTCTGCTTTCTTCTTATGTGTCACTGAGATGTGATTGACCTGAATGTGCATTGTGTCCCGGCAGACCCCACAGCACGGCGGGCAGCTAAGCCAGGCCCTGCGTCACGAAACCGCTACGCCAGCCAGTGGACCCTGAACCGGCCGCACCCTCCAGTGTCCACCCACACCCTCAGCACCGACTGGAGGCTTGCCACACCCCGAGTGGCCGGATCAGTGGACAAGGAGAGTGACAGCTACAGTGTCAGCCCATCGCAGGACACAGGTTCTTCCTGTAGTTCACGCTCTATTATTTCACTTCACTTGCTTGAATTGTTGTTGTTTCAATTGTAGTGAAAAGTCCTCACCCCAAATGTAGTCGATCAGCCAGGACATGTTCGGTGTCTATAGTTTGCTTCTTTGCTTTTGTACTAGAGTACGAAGTCTAAAGACGGGGTTACACTACACGACTTTGACCCCGATTTTAGCCCCGATTCTCAGTCTGGCTGAGTCTGAGCTGGTCGGCTCTAGTCTGCAGATTTTTGGGTCAGTCGGAGTCGACGGTTGGAGAGAGAGTCGAGTCGTGTGTGAAGGGCGCAGACTCAGATTTCTGGCCTCACAATTGTGTTTACAGACCAGTCATAGTTTATCAAATGTTTGATTTTTTCGAGCCGACTCAGAGCGTCGTCTAGTGTCAACTGATCAACGACTTAATCTGAACAGATTCCTACAACAGCCAATGAAAACTGAGAGCGAGAAAGAAGAAAATACAGCACGTAAACAAAGCAGAATGGCAGAAAAGTCACTGACGTGTGGAGCGAAGCTTTTTAATGAGCTGAGTTTAAGGTACAATCGAGTTTATGTACATTTAAAACTAAAAATACCAGACTGATCACATTTTAAATCCATGGACCCTTAAACATGTTTTTACCTGCTGCTTCTTTACTGCGTCAGTGCAAATGGCCACGAAAACAGCAGCAGCAGCTCCACGTTTGTTTATTCGGGTCTCCTAGTAACAGAACGCGAGAGTTCGCAAGAGTTTGCGTGAGTTCGCGCAAGTTCAGTGAGCTCTGTTCAGTTCAGCAGCAGCTGAAAAGTTGAGAACTGTGTGATCCCTAATCGTTTAGTGTGTGATCCCTAATATTTCAGTCACAAAAAAAATCTGCAAAATCCAGTAGGAAAGTGTGAGACGCCCAGTCTTTCATAATCTGTTCAGACTTTAAAAGTCTTTTAGTGAACCCAAGGCTTAACACAGCTATGGAGCTAATTAGCTTTCACACTTGCCTCAAACCGCATCGGGTTTATTGAGTAACAGTAGCAGCAAACTTGAAGCTCATATTTTGTCTGCACTTATGTTCATTGTTATAGACAACAGTATATAAGTAAGCAAGTCTGATTATTTAACAACTCGATGCAGCTGGTGTCTCATGATGACATGCATATGCTAATAGGCTTCCATTAAGGCCATTTTGTATTTATATGTTTTCATTAATGGTCACTCGACAAAAAAACTGTGGACGACAGATTTAGGCTTTCATAGTCCTGCATAAGCGACAAAATGTTGGAATAAAACATTGTCTGTAGAGTCGTCTTCTCACAGTGGAAGGACGGCTGTGGATTGTTTCAGATCTGAATCAAGAGTGGAGCTCGATTTTCTCCTCTCTCTCAAAAATGAAAGCTTTAAGTGCTGTTTATCTGTTGAGGGACAGTTGTGGGGTCTACCAGGTTTTCCAGGTGGTCCCCTTATCTCTGTATCTTTTAATCACTCGACATAGTCCAGTTTTGGAAACTCCGGTTTTTCAGAAAATAGATTTTTTCAGAAATATCGCCTGGAAAATGAAAGACTTGTACTTAACGGCCGGTACACTGGTAATTATATAAAGAATGTCATGGCTGATCAGATACAGTTGGGATAAGGAGAAATGTGTGTGAATTTGATTAGAAATACACTGTCAGAAAAAAGGCGCTGTACAGGTACATTCTCTACATGGTACATGGAGTTTAAAAATACAGTACATTCACATTCCCAGGAGAGCGAAGACATGTAACTGTTTTAAATGGAAAAAATTCATCTGGAGTCAGTCCAACGTAACTGCAGAGGAATGTGGTGTGATTATGTTCCCTAACTAAAGGCAAGTCGCAAAATACAGGGGGTCCTGGGGGGGTCCAGATTCTCTTGGATCCCTTGAATGTTTCAAAATCAAAATTCTGGGGGGTCCCTAAAAATAAACGTATTATGACGTTATTCTTTCCAAATTCAGGGAAGGTCATTGTTTAGCTGCTTCATCCAAAATCAGTGAGCTTCTTTTCTTTGGTATTCTTAACGAACTAGAGTTGCAGCACTGGTCTTCCTCAGGGTGGCGCTGTAGCAAATTGGTTCGACAGGTGGTCCTTCAAAGGACCACCTCAGTCTTGGCTTTCTTGCAACTGTAGCTATGCCTGGGATAGCTCTGAAGATCTTTACAATATGCAGTAGTGTAAAAGTAAATCTGAAAACTACCCAGTTTCCCAAGAGACTGGTGGAAATGGTGAATTCTTACTCATTTCTCACACAGAAGACAGAAGAGGAGATGTGTAAGATCTCTATTAATGTGTGGAAGAGTGAACTACCCAAATAAAAAAGAGCATTTCCAAAAAAGAAGAGTTAAGCCAAACATTTTGTTGCCATTAAAACTAGTATCAACACAGCTATGGTGAGTGAGTTAGCACTCCAATGCTGGAGAAGCCAGCCAATATTGGACCCCCTAAACACCAGAGGGTATTTCACACACTCACTAAAGGTACTGAGAACTTACCCTTGAGGGGACCAACACAGTGACAGTTTAGTACCTTTTTTCTGAGAATATATTTCTGAATTGTGGTTGTTGTGAGGTTTGTTTTAGTTTTCAGACCCTCTTTATTCTGCAGTTTAAATGTGACAGATTAACCAGAGAGTCCAGTATCTCAGCACTCAACATGTTCCTGTTTCTTCCAGACCGAGCTCGGAGCAGCATGGTGTCCACGGAGAGCGCCTCGTCCACCTACGAGGAGCTGGCGCGCGCCTACGAACACGCCAAGATGGAGGAGCAGCTGCGGCACGCCAAGTTCACCATCACCGAGTGCTTCATCTCAGACACGTCCTCCGAGCAGATGACGGCCGGCACCAACGACTACACAGACAGCCTGACGTCCAGCACGCCGTCCGAGTCGGGCATCTGCAGGTTCACCGCCTCACCCCCCAAACCTCAGGACGCCTGCAGGGTCATGAACATGGCTGTGCCCAAGGCCCACAGGCCAGGTGAGGAAGATTAAACAGGGATCTCAGACAGTGCTGCACTGAAACAGTAAATCATAAAATGTTATTGATGAAAGTGAATTTAAGATCATCAGCAGAATCAGATTTGTAGGTAATAATAAAATAATCCTCCTTTACAGTAAAATAAAGCTCTGCTGATCGTTCAACACAGTTTAACAATAAATGGTCTTAAACTCTGGAGTTAATGTAGAACTGATAGTTCACCCTTTAAGCCTGAAGGTTGGCACGCAGACTGCTGGTCACCATAGCAATGCAGACAACAGTCTCACCTAGCTAGTAGCTAATGAAACAGCAAAGATAAAGATTTAAGACGAACATCAAAAAATCAGAGACGAATGGACTTATTCGCGTTTATAATCACTCCACCTGGTTTCCTGATACGTTTAATCTGCAACGAGAAACTGTCAAAAATTTTTCTGTTCCACCTTAAATGGTGCAGAAGTTACATTCTGGTGCCTCAGGCAGCATTTAAGGTGGAACGGAAAAAAATCGGACAAAAAGCTGGCAAATGAGAAGCGACTTCACCCCCATAAGAAGTCTAAAACTGAGAGACATTTTACTAGAAATTATTTGATGTTTGGAAAAGTTTCTCAGCTCCACCACTTTCCTGCCAGAGATGTGAGAAAAGTGACTATAGCTGAGCTAAAGCTTAAAGCAGGGCTAAGTAAGTCTGTGTTTTCATTTATATTGTATTTTTAAACTACATTAGTACATCAGCACATACCGAGACAAGTTTTCAGCCAAGATGGTAAAATGAACATAAAATGTTGTGGCTCCTAAGGTGGTTTGGGTTTTTGCTGAAAGGACAAAAAGGCTCTTCTTAACGTTTGGGCTGCCGACCCCTGGTTTAGGATAAAGGAAATGTACTGAACGTGTACTGAAATGAACAGAAACACTGATTTCTGTAAGCTTTGATGGATGTTGCTTTGTGATAATTGGAAAACTTGCCTAAAGGCCCAGCCACAGTACTTATTTGACAGCTAAACTTTGTGAGCAAAATTACATTCATTTCAGTTGAAATGAACCTGTCGCTGTGGATGCGACATCAGAAGTGATGAAATATTGGGCTAGATTTATATTCCATGCCATCAGATTTACTGTAACATGAGCAAATAGAACGGTGAATACACGTTTGCTCATTGTGCGATTTCCTCAATTTAAATATGGCAGCAGCGATTCGTAACGCAAAACACAGTCCAGTAAAAATTACACCGAAACCCTTTTCCTAGCTCATGAGGATTTCATTATATTTTAGACATTGGGCCTCATTCCCCACTCGTTCTTTAGAAGACAGTTCTTCTTAAAATCTGTTTACGCTGTTTCCTCAAAGATCCTGACATTCACCAGTATTTTCTTATTTGGGATTAGTTCCTATGTAAGAACAGAATCTACACTCACTCAAGAGCACAAAGATGCAAACAGTTCTGCAGTTTAAGAACAGGTCACGTATCTGATGTAGACTTTTTCTTAGGATTTTTCTCAAGAACAAATTTAATAAAAAACTTAAAAAGATATTGGTGAATGAGGCCCAATGTTTCCATACATTTGATCACACATGCAACAAGTTATGCACACTCAGCCAATTAACCAGTAAATTTAAAAGACACGTTTTGATCTATTTGGACAGAACAGCACGGCAAACCTTCTAACTGCTGTTGTAGGAGAAAAAAGACTCGGAGCAAATTCCAGATTGACAAATTTAACTGGCGCTGAACTTAAAACAGCCTCCTCTTCCTGCTGCAAACTCATCTTTCATAAATCCCCCTCCTGTGTGTGGAAAGTAGGTTTAGCTTGTAATCCAAATAAGTGAAGAGTAATTTGATGTTGAAACTGTGTTGAAATGGATTTTATTGCAAGCAGTTTTAACTTTTAATACTATTTTTAAATTTACAACATATTTAACAAATGAATTTGCAGTTTACAACATGTGAAAAAAACAAATTTACAGGTAAAAATTGATTTCTTATGAGTAAAAATTGAATTTTTACCAGTCAAAGTTTAATATTTACTAGTGGAATTTTACTTTTTACATGAATTCCTGATATCAAAAATTAATTTTTGATTAGTTGAAATTTTATTCTTACATGGGCAAACTGAAGATCAAGAAAAATGGGAAATAGCAGTTAGAATGGCTTGTCATAGTAATTAGAATTTCAGCATGTCATTCCAGTTTTTACTAATAATAAAAAAAAACACAATTTTCAACTTTAATTCTTGTTAGTAAAATTTGTTACTGCAGTTATAATGAATTGGAAAAAGGTTTGAATTATTACCAATGAGAAACGATATCGTACATGCTAAAATATAATTCATATAATTAAAAGTAGACTTTTAATTGTTCTCTTTCATGTCATTTTCTTTCTAATAGAAATAACATTTTCTTGATTTAAAAACTTAAAGCATTTTTACCAAACAGTTTACTATTATTTTGGTTTTCTTTGTTTTCTTTGTTTTCATTTCTTTTGGCCGCCAACCACAGCTTCACTTGATGTGGGCCTTAATATATATGACCTCATTTAAGTGTCATTTTTTTAGTTCTTGTTTAGGACACCAGTGACAAAACCGCAGCCTTAAAGACTTTATGAATAGCTCTTCTTTAACCTTTTTTCATGGTGTTCTGCTGTTACCAGCTCATTTTATGAATCTGGCCTGATGTGTCTGAAATTCTGAAGGGGAATTTCGTGCAGCAGCACTGAAGATCCAGAAAGGAGAAAGCACTACTTTTAACCGTACTTAGGCATTGCATTATATATCATTCTTTCCAAGCTGACTACCAAGATGCAAACGGGACAACGTGGATGTGTAGTCAGTGGAAGTCCAGTGTCACTGCTGAACTGCCCACCACACCCAGACGGACCACTTTTTTGTCACTAGGGATGTTCAGATCCATTTGCAGTGTTCAGAACCAGAACCAGTGCAGCAGAGAGCAGAGCCTTTCTACAATAGTCTCATTTTCATTGACTCGCGAGTGAATATGTGTCAGGAGTATATTCTGTATATGCTTCTGATGGCATAGTTTACACATATCTGTGTTCAGACGAAAACATGGCTGAAACGCAGTGGAAACACTGACTGATTAAGTTTTCATTTTAAATCTCTTATGAAAATTCGCCTCACGTCCAGTGGCATAAGTAAAAATATTTTGTAAAAAAAGAAACAAAGGATCAGAACTGGAACGTACGACAATGTTTTAGGGCCACTGTTAATAAAAATAAAAATAGTAGACTTCAAGAATAAAGTCGCACTATTTCGAGAACAAAGTCGTAATATTTAGAGAAAAAAAGTCGTAATATTTAGAGAAAAAAGTCATAATTTGAGAATAAAGTCGTAATATTTCAAGAAAAAAGTCGTAATATTTCGAGAAAAAAAGTCGTAATATTTCGACAATAAATTCATATTTTCGAGTATAAAGTCGTAATATTTCGAGAAAGAAGTCGTAATATTTAGAAAATAAAGTACTATTTCGAGAAAAAAGTTGTAATATTTTGAGAATAAGTCATAATATTTCGAAAATAAAGTCATAATATTTCGAGAAAAAGTCATAATATTTTGAGAATAAAGTTGTACTATTTCGAGAAAAAAGTTGTAATGTTTAGAGAAAAAAAGTCTTAATATTTAGAGAATAAAGTCATAATATTTCTAGAAAAAAAGTTGTAATATTTTGAGAAAAAAGTCATAATACTTTAAGAAAAAAAACCTTTCCTGGTATTAACGCAACTTTAATGTCATAATTCTACGACTTTTTTCTCAAAATATTTTGACATTTTTCTCTAAATAGTATGACTTTTTTCTCGAAAAGCAGATACCCAATCCATGAAAATATGCCTGGAACAGCTCTGATCCTCATCAGGATATACCTAGTTGTCACCAAATCTAGTCCCGCATTGCTGGTAAAGAATTGGAAGAACTGCAAAGAAGAACTGAAAAAGTGACGGCAGCTTGAAATAGCAAGTATTTACAATGTGTGAAATATTACAGTGTAGTCATGCTGCATTGGCACTCTTCCATGGCTGAACCACTATCTGTCATCCCACAGGGGGCGAGCTGGTGCACCTGCCTCCGTACCTGCGCATGGACTTCCTGCTGAACCGGGGCGCGTCGGGAGGATCGCGGGAGGCCTCGCTGGGCCAGGCGTGCCTGGAGCCACAGAAGAGCCGCTCGCTGAAGCGGCCCAGCCTGCTGGAGCCCACGCCCATGGAGGCGCCGGCCAGCCGGGACGCTCAGCAGTGGCAGCCGGGCTCCGCCTCCACGCTGCCCCAGAGGGAGGCCGGCTCGGACTTGGCTCAGGCCGCCAAACTCAGCACCTCGCAGGAATCGCTCTTAGATTCCAGAGGACACTTAAAACAGAGCAGCAATCCCTACGCAAAGTCCTACACACTGGTATAACCCAGCGCACGGACCGGACTGCAGCTAACACACACTCACACACACACAAACACACACTCTTTCACACACACTCACACACTCATTCACACTTACACACACACACACACGTTTAGCTCCAGAGCAAAAAGCGGACTCTCATCAAACGGTTGTACATAGACGCCTTTCCTCACGGACAGGCCACTTCGATTCGTAATGTTTACTTTCTTTTAAGCTTTTTTAAACATGTGAATTCACTTCTTGGAAAAATTTTGCTCCAAATACGGAGATTGCCAACATAATTTATTTGAGAATTATTATTATTATTATTATTATTATTATTATTATTTACTTTTAGCATTTAGTGTGCACAAACTGATGACTGGGAACCCATTAGGTTTTTTTCTACAGGAATTTATTTGTGTAATTGATATAAAACAACGGAATGATGTTTGCGCGCCAGAGAGAGAGAGAGTGATCACCACTGTTCCAAAGTTGTCACTGTTTTTTCAGATCGTTACGTTTTAAAGTTTAAAAATTTCCTATGGGTGCATGGGGACTGACCAATAAAATACGAAGAAGATGATGACGACGACGATAAAGATAAAAACGATAATAAATAGCTGGACAGTCCAGCTGATAATTTTTTTCACTATGAAATGATCAAATGTGAAGATTTAGTATTCTTATGACTATAAATATATAAATATATATATTAAAGGAGAAATCACTTTTATTTGTGGGTATTACAGGGAAAAAGTTTTGATTTGATTAAATAAAAGTCCTTAGTCATGTTTGCACATATATTGTTTTTACCTAGGAAATCGAGTCTTTGCTTTCGATGATTATTTGTGTCCCATTCTTCTGATGGTGCAATATGGATGAAAAAAAAAAGTGAAATTAATTTTGCTTTATACTGTACTGTATCTAACCTATGTTGTGAGCATATGACTTTAAGGGGCGGACGAGCTGAAACTGTTTATTCAGGTGTAAATTACCGCTGGTTGTTTACAAGGTAAAATACTCATTTTTTTTTACGTCACAGGGGAGGTGACCCTTCGTAGTTGGCCTTCCGCTGCACTAGAAAAGTATCTGCTCATTAACCCCCCCCCACTCCCACCCCACGCGTAGTGCACTAGGTAGTGTCCGCAGGGCACACTCTCTTGTCTTCACTAGATTTATTTTTGCTGCATTGCAGTGATGCTCCTCTACAGGGAAAAGTAAGTAAATAAATAAATAAATAAATAAATAAAAACTGAGACAATCCGAAGAGAATCCCCTTAAAGGACGAGAAGCCGATTCTATGTGAATATTGAAGGTGTGGGTGCAATCTGTTACTGTAGCTTTGCATCGAACTCTGTCTTGCAGGGAGAGGAATGATGACGAATGCTGTGAGATCATATGCCAGTATATTTAATTCGATGGTTCTATTTTAACCCCCCACCCTTTTCGCTCATTATACCAGTTTCTTTTTCTTAGTGGTTGGGTTTTTTTTTTCTTTTCGTTGATTTGGACAGGGTGTTCACAGCTGTGTCACTCCAATAAAGAATTTACCATGCAGTTCCAATCGATTAATAAAAGGCTGTTCCCCAAACGTATCGCCCAGTTTGCTATGGCTGACAGGTTTTCCTATATGGGTGGTGCAAATGACACGGCTTCATTCATACACTGAATGTGACGCCGCGTAAGGGGTGCGAGGATTATAAAGCAAGTAGGAGGTGATAAAGGAACGCTAAATCCTTATCGGTATGCAGTACCGGTCATATGTTTGGACACACCTACAGTGAGGGGAAACAAGTATTCAGACACTGTACTAAACATGAGCAAAACAGTACACCCATACATCACACCTACAGGAGCTTTTAGGGCATCCTATTCTAAATCCATAGGCATTAATATGGAGTTCGTCCCCTTTGCAGCTGTAACAGCTTCAACTGTTCTGGGAAGCTTTCTACAAGATGTTGGAGAGTGTCTGTGGGAATTTTAGCCTATTCATCCAGAAGGGCATTTGTGAGGTCAGACACTGATGTTGGGAGGATCTGGCTCACAATCTCTGTTCTAGTTCATCCCAAGGGTGTTCAATGGGTTGAGGTCAGGGCTCTGTGAGGGCCAGTCAAGTTCTTCACTCCACACCAAACTCTCCCAGCCATGTCTTTATGGACCTTGCTCTGTGCACAGGGCTCAGTCATGCTGGAACAGAAAACTGTTCCCACAAAGATGGAAGCATACAGTTGTCCAAAATGTCTTGCTGCTGAAGCATTAAGATTTCCCTTCACTGGAGCTAAGGGTTCTAGACCAACCCCTGAAAAACAACCCCATATCATCATCCCTCCTCCACCAAACTCTACAGTTTCCACAGTGCAATCAGGCAGGTAACGTTCTCCTGGCATTCGCCAAACCCAGACTCGTCTATCAGACTGACAGATAGAGAAGCTGATTCATCACTCTGCAGAATACGTTTCCACTGCTCCAGTCCAGTGGCGGCGCTTTACACCACTCCATCCAACGCTTGGCATTGTACATTTTGATCTTAGGCTTGTGTGGAAACTCATTTCGTGAAGCTCCTAACATGCAGTTCTTTTGCTGATTTTGCTTCCAGAGACAATCTGGAACTCTTTAGTGATGATTCAACAGAGGATAGGCACTGTGCGCTTCAGTACACGGTGACCCCACTCTGTGATTGCATGGTCCACCGCTTCATGGCTGAGCTGTTGTTGCTTCCATTTCACAATAATAGCATAACTTACAGTTGACTGGGGCAGATCTAGCAGGACAGACATTTCACAAACTGACTTGTGGCAGAGGTGGCGTCCTATGACAGTGCCATGTTTAAAGTCACTGAGCTCATCAGTTCGACCCTCTACTGCCAGTGTTTGTCTATCGAGACTGCAAGGCTATGTGGTTAATTTCATCCACCGGTTAGCAATGGGTGTGGCTGAAACACCTGAACTCAATAATTAGGAGGGGTGTCCCAATACTTTTGTCTAAATAGTGTATAAACATATATCTAGAAGTTGCATCTAGTTTCATTAAAAAATACATCACCATTGGTTGTTAAGAGTACACATTGCTAACAAGTAGCAACCATGGTGAATGTGAAGGAGCTTCATAAAGTTCTCAGGGAGAACATTTAATGGATATCACTTGAATGGAAATAACTACAGAGCCCTAACAAGACCATAACCATAATATAATAATATAATATGGAAGTGAAAAGATCATGTATTCACAGCTGTTCCTCTGTGAACAGGTTGAATATGGAAGATTTCACTTGTTGCAGGACAACCTGAAAGCAGCAGGAGCAACAGTTTCACAGGGTATGCGAGGAGGTGTTTTAAGTTTGGGTGCTGAAATTGCAGCATATATGTGATGTGAACGATGATATCATGCAAAATGATCTGCCAATTTCATTTCCATTTTTATGATCATTTCCGTCAAACAGAACGTTGTGTAATGTGACGAGAGACGACGATATCTTCTCTCTGCTTTCTCTTTTTGCTGGATGAGCATTGTGTAAATGAGCCGAGCAGTGACTGATCATTGATGCGTCACACCCTACAACGCACACCGAGTGGGAGATTTAACGTTTGATAGAAAGAATGTATTCAAAACCTGGGACATCATTACAGTTTAAACCATTTAAAAACAATAGTAGGCTACTTTGGAGCTCAGAAATGGCCTACAGCTCTGCACACACTTTCCCTCTTTACACACCAAACCTGCATGTGTTTTAGCGACGCGCCCCCAAAGTGGCCAGCAGGGGGTGAGGGAAGCGGTTCAGCTCGCCTTAATGAAAATACATTGTTAACATAAACAGTGCAGCTACTGCAGACCTTAAAAATATATGAATAAAACACAGAAATACAAACGCCACTCTAATACCATATGCCATAGTCAAATTCATCCCATACTCGATTGAGCATGTCGGTGTCGCTGCACTCACGGCTCTTTCAGTGCGATTTCGGAGATCATCCAGTGTTGTGGAACCAACGACGAACGCTCTGAGCTGTTGGAGCTTCACTGCTGACGAAAATCACACTGCACAGTTATGACGGATTCACTCTTATTGAAGTGGAGAACGCAGAACGCTTTCTGCTCAGGGGTCTCTCAGACTGAAGGGAGCCGTCTTCCACTGACAGCCAGAAACTCTATCACCCCCTCTTTCATTTGGTATGTGATTGGTTCCTAGGCGCCTCACGGTTGTAAAAATATGGCGCTTTGAAACCGGATGAATCTTTTTGAATCACCCTGTATTCTAAAGTTCAGAACTTCATTTTTATTTTTAGCAGCTGCAGTTAAACAGTCCGGAAATCTGGGGGGCTGCTGTACCTTCAGCACCCCCACGTCACGCATCCTGCCCTGTACTGCACCTTCATCGTCTCTGTTTCTACACCCTACACAAAGCTACTCTGCTAAAGATTCACATATAAAATCTATTATGGAATAATAAAGGAAACAAAAATAGAAGTTCAGTAATTCAGCTCAAAAGGTTTGGAGAAAAAGGGTTGTGCGTATGATCCCAAGAACATCAAACCCACACTGAAGTGTGAAGGTGGGAGCATCATGATATGAGGCTGCTTCTCTTTAAACAGTACTGGGGCACAACACATCATTGAAGGAACCATGAATGGAGTGACGTACCAAGACTTATTAGAGGACAATTTAATCTCAGTGTCCAAGAAATTGGCTCTGAGGAGAAGATTCAGGAGGCTGTTTCAACAAGACAACGACCGCACCCATACAGCCAAAATACAAACCCCATTTCTGGAACAGTTGGGACATTTTGTAAAATGCAATACAAACAAGAATGTGTGATTTGTTAATTCTCTTGAACTTCTATTTAACTGACAAAAGTATAAAGGAAAGATTTCCAGTGTTTTCACTGACCAACTTTATTGTGTTTTGTAAATACAAACACATTTAGAATATGATGCCTGCTACACACTCAAAAAGTAGAAAAGTTTATAGAATATTCAAGTTATGCAGTTTTGATACCTTCCACAATAAACAGGTGAATTGGTACCAGGGTGTAGTATCATGATTGGGTATAAAAGGAGCGTCCACCAAAGCTCAGTCATTGCAAGCAAAGATGGGTTGTGGCTCACCACTTTGTGCCAAACTTCACAAGATAATTGTCAAACAGTTTATTTCTGAACTCTCTCTGAATTCTCAATGGAAAATGGCAAAGAATTTAGGTTTTTCCCATCTACTGTATAAAATATTGCGAAAAGATTCAGATAATCTGGAGAAATCTTGTCCAGAAGTCTGTGTAGGGCAAGACTGCAAACCGCTG